TGTGGAATTGAACTGTACCAAAGTAGTTTCTTGCGTTGTTTTAAGAAAACAAGGTTTATGCATTTGACAATCGTATCTCAAAATTCTCGATCGCAGAACACAGTAGCTGCAGTAAGAATAAAAGACCGCATTCTTTGACGGCCACTAGTTTCGTCAAATTTTGAAATGTATGCTGTTTATTTCAAATGCTTATGTACTTTTTTTTTCTCATATTATATCAAATTCTTGCAAATGCTTATCAAGAGTCGTATCTCGGCTTTTATAACACTTCCACGAGGGCTTTACAGAATGCGCTATAGTGTTGTTCAGTTAGTCATCTACTGATTTTCGCAAAACACTTGCATAATTGGTCAATGCTACAAATCGGCTGCTAAGTCTTGAACGATTTACTCATTTGCTACCTTGCTTGGTCACCTATTTGTGAGAAGTTAGTATTTTTTCCATCTTTATTTTAGCCAAAGGTATAGATCTTCCTGGTGGATCATCCTTGGTGACCGTTCAAAGTTTATCTAGCAGCAGCATGCCTTCCGCATTGCCTTCAGGTAAAGACGTTTGTGATCTTCTTCACTTATTTGAGAAAATGTTAGTCACAGCCTCTTTACTTAAGCTTTAGCCAACAAATCTCATGTGGCTTCTCACAATATCACGTCCTCTCTGCTGACCATTCCTCTCCGGTCTACAAATCGTGGTCGGCCACCACCACCTGGTAAATATTCGCTCAAATTTGACTTTTCTTTTTAATGAAGCCTTTATTTTTTCCCACATTTCCTTCATCCATGCTTTTTAGATTACGACTCGGTCATAGAACAGAAGTTTGCCCTTTTGGGCCGCACTGCGCAGAATAATTCAAGTGTGTCTGCTTTTTCCGAGGAAGAAATCTCTATCGCTAATATGGGTCTCACTCAAAATGATCTCCTTGTACTTATTGAAAAGCAAAGGTAAAAATCTGTTCCGTTCCTATCATCTGTTATAGTGCAAGTCTTGCAAGTACTTTAGGCAAACAATTGAGCGGCAGCGAGAAAATCTCTTGAATACAGAACTTACGCTGCCTTCAGACGCGGACAGAGAGTTTCTCCAACTTCAACGCCAGCAAGTTCGTGTCTCATATTTCCTTTGTTAATTCCAATTGAAAATTCTCGCTGTGGCTCGTGAAAGAGTTAAGCAAAGGCATACATCTTCTTGTTGCTAAT